CTATTCCTGCAATGCAAAGCTGAATTTTCAGCATCATTCCTCCAGTCTTCAGTGTCACATGATCCTTCAGAAATCATTCTAATATGCTGATTTGCTGCTCAAGAAACATTTCTTACTATTATCAATGTTAAAACAAAACAAAAAAACAGTTGCTGCTTAATATTTTTATGGAAACCATGATATGTTGTTTTTTTTAGAATTCTTTGATGAAAAGCATTTATTTAAAAAAACATTTATTTAAAATAGAAATCTTTTGTAACATTATAAATGTCTTTACAGTCACTTTAGATTAACTTAATGTGTCCTTGCTGAATAAAATATTAATTTCTTAAAAAAATGAAAGTGTAAGTTAGTAAAGAAAATAATAAATACAAAATAAAAATCTATACAATGTAAAGCCATGATCATTGATTTTCCAGTAACATTCACAAGAGAACCTCTTGAGTTTTGATGGCATCATCTTTCTGATTGTTCTACACCACAGGTACAGTACATACAACAACTGTTTCTGAAAACAGATTTTTTTATTAATAAGCATCATTTACGGTGACATTATTAAACAAGGATAAGAAAACTTTGCATGCCATGGTGTGAATCATGCTGTGTGTTGCTAGCATGCTGCTAGGTGAGCGAATCAATAGGAAAGCATTGTTTAGATTTTAAAGGGGTCATATGATGCGATTTCAAGTTTTCCTTTCTCTTTGGAGTGTTACAAGCTGTTCATGAATAGATAAGATCCCTAAAGTTCCAAAGACTAAAGTCTCAAACTAGTGCTGGGCGGTATGACCAAAAACGTATATCACGGTATTTTTCAAAATTATACCAGTTTCACGGTACATGACGGTATTTTTTTTCCATGAATGCCCGGGTGTTAACCATATTTTCTACTGATTGAGAGAGGAAATACTAGAAAGGTGGGGCATAGAGGAGAAACAATAATGTACAATATGTGGAAAATAATGTGTTTTTTGAACCTTAAACCACATAAACACATATAATTACACCAAATACACAAAATAATGTTCTTTTTAGCAACATCATATGACCCCTTTAAAACCTTGTTGTGACAAAAATACATTCAAATGCTTTGTGTGAATAATGTAGGCCTTTAGAGCAAAACATTCTGAGCGTGGCTGATTGCAGGTGTCATACCTGGGCAGCAGGTTGTACTGAGAGCGGGTTATTTTTCCCTCTGTCAGACTGCGCACAGATACAGGGTGACCAAAGTACACATACATACTGCCATAGTCCTCACTCAAGACCCGCCGGGCCTTCAACAGACCCTGAGAGGAAGAAAGAAAGAGAGTTGAGAAATGTTCCAGCAAAAAACAGAATATCCAAGCATAAACGTTCAAACATTAAAGGGGTCATAAACTGAGAATTCAAAATTCCCTTGATCTTTTGACAGATAAGAGGTCATTGTACTATAAAAACATCTTGTAAGTTTCAGAACTCAAAACTTTCTCGTTAGACAATCTCCCAAAACGACAGGTTGTGGAATGTTTCACTTTATGATGTAATAGTGTTGCTAAACTCCGCCTCCGCAGAAGAAGATCAACGCCTGCTTCTACAGCACTGCCTGTTTAGCTCCGCCTACTGATTCATGCATGTTTTGTAAATAACAAGAAAGGCAAACGGAGGTCTACACAGAAACCAAACGATAAAGATGCTCCGAAGACAACAAGACGCTGTGCAGTTCCAAGTTGTAAAAACATAGTCTTTGCATAACCTTCCATCCGATCCCAACATTAGGAAAGAATGGATTAGCTTTATTTTTAATGAAGTTCCAGACCGCGTCAGTAAGAACTTGGTCCTTTGTTCACTTCATTTTAACGCAGATTCGTTTACAAACAAGACAATTCGACACAGGATTTTCAGAAAGATTGAAACTAAAAGACGATGCTGTGCGGAATATTTTGGATCTGACAGTAATGTTGCACCACACAAGTGTGAGTATTTATTATGTGGTCACTGCTGCTTTGTCTGTTATTACAGATCGTTTGCTATGTACTGAATATGTATGCATTTTTAACCTAAATCACAGCAGTGTCCATCTATGAAGGCAAACATATACAACTGTTAGCCAATCATAGCAGTGGGTGTTTACTTCCAAGTCTACAATCCGCCACGCCTATTCAAACAGAGCGTTCCAATGAGAGGGGGTCAAAACAGGACAGAAAATAGCCTATTCCTTCTAATTTATGATGTTTTTTCTTTGTAAAAATCTTGATAACATTATAACTGGACCTCAGAGAACAGTACAAAATAATAAAAAAAACAGTTCATGACCCCTTTAAGTGAGGTTTTATGCCTGAAATGAAAATTAACTTAATTCAGGAGACAAAAAGGCTTATTATCTTGTACAATTTTGCTTCATGATATAGATAGATATATCATTTTAGGGGCTGTTTTGGGTATTTAACATACATTTATTTATATGTATCCACTGTCCATTATGTGACTCATAAAAAAATATTGTAATATTTATTAATATTTACACAATTCAAAAATGTGGAGTCAGTTGTTAAGCAGCACAACTGTTTTCAACACTGATAATAAGAAATGTTCAGAACCAAATCAGCACATTAGAATTACTGATTTCTGAAAGATCATGTGACAGTTAAGACTGGAGTAATGATGCTGAAAATTCAGCTTTGCATCACAGGAATAAATAACATTTTAAAATATATTCAAATAGAAAACATTTAAAACTTAAATAACATCATTTCACAATATTAGTGTTTTTACTGTATTTTTTATTAAATAAATGTAGCCTTGGTGAGCATATGAGTCTTCTTTCAAAAATATTTAAAAAATGTACCGACCCCAAACTTTTAAACAGTCGTTGTTTTTTGTTTTTGTTTTTTTACAGGAAATGTGAACAGATTAAGAGAATATATCTTGCTGCGCATATTTTGTTGTTATATGTCAGCTAAAAATAGTGATGGGATGCATATTAGAAGGCCATGCGTACTGAGGTTGATTCTTTGGGCTTCGGGATGCCGAGCAGCTCACGGGCGTACAGAGATTCTTCCAGAATTCTCTCGTAGCTGATACTGACAGGAACCAGGTTCACATCAAATAGCTCTCCTTTAAAAAACGGCTCCATCACAATATTCAACAACCCTGAGGGAGAAGAGAAAGAGAGTGGGAGATGAAGCTGACACAAAACGAATAGTGTTCAAAGAGGCGGAGCGTGTTGTTTCTCTCATTCATCTAAATTTGCTTTTGTTCGCTTTGATTGATGAGCTGCCCACCATTGGGCTTTCCAGGTTTAAAGCTGTCGATTTGAACCTCTGTGCCATAAATTAGTCAGGGGCTCTATATCATTCTGGGACTATGATTCAGTTGTAAAAATCCTGTGAAATTTCATTTAGCTGGCACCTCACTTCCTGTGTGAAAAAAAAAAATGTGTCCTGTCACCTTGAATTTATTTGTGCAGCGATAAAAAAGGCTGAAAAGTGGGGAAAAGCCTTGACGCTGCACAATACATGAAGAAGTCAGCAAAGAGCTTTTATCAAAATGAAACACAAAAAAGTCACAGCAGCACAGACAGTCTGTTTTTGAACTTGCATAAAAAAATGTAACAAACATATAGTCGATGTACACTTACCTGTCTTTGGTGTGAGAGATTTGCATGTCCTGCTTCTAGTTCCTTCCAAGAAGAACTCAATTGGGGCATATCCATTCTGAATAAATGACATATAACAGGTTAATCATTTTTCAACAATGTATATTTTCAACGGTCAAGAATGGAAGGATATACAGTAAACAGTCATTTAGCAGATGCTTTTATCCAAAATGACTCCAAAATGACTTCATTTATTACCAGTAAAATCGCACTGGATCAACCTGTTGGGGTTCAGTGTTGGGGGAACGCATTACAAGTAACGCAAGTTACGTAACTTACTTTTTTCAAGTAACTAATAAAGTAACAAATTACTTTTTAATTGATTTTTCAGTGACTTTGTTTTCCCATTTATTGACTGACAGCTGTCCTGTCCCCATGATGAGAGAAACCAGGAGTGAGTGCAGAGGTGTTGTGTGCGCTGTGTAAACATGAAGCTTACTGTAATTCTAGACTAAATGTGAATACGCATTTACTCATCTCACTTGTACAAAAACAGATATAGTACTGCTCAAAATTAATAAAAAACAGTGAAGAACAAACTCAGAATATGATGCAAATCTGCAATAATTAAGTGTTAAATAACACAAATATCCTTTATTTAATCCAATTTTATCAACCAATGTCTTTCCTGCTGACCTTTGATGATGCAATTCAACCATACTAACAAGCAAAAATGACTTTAGATTAACATAACATTTGTTTCTTTTTTTTTTTGTGATTGAGAAGAAAGTGTTGAACCTTAACGCAATATCGTAATGCAATACTTTAAGCTATTAGCTTTCCCCAACACTGGTCTTGATCAAGGGTCCTTGCAACTACACATAAAGGCCCGGATATACTGCAAGCGAAATCGAAGAATAAACTGATGTGACGTCATTTCGAACAAAATCCGGCCAAACCGAAGTTCGTTTTGGGAGTTCGAAACAGCTTGCCAAAGCGAACTTTATGGAAAAGTTTGTTCCGGCTGCCTTCGTACTACCATTGGTCCGTGACGATTACGTCATAGGAGGTGTGCACAGAGGCTCCGCCTTCTTTCACATGGAACTCTTCTCTGGGTTCATGAATCATTTCATCTGTCGAGTCCCTGAAGGTGTGATGTCCGTGCAGTGGAGAGCCGCTTTACAGTAGCCAATGAAGTTGTGCTTCTGATGAAGTGAGACACTGACACTGTTTCTCATGTTTAATACTGCTGCTTGCATTTAAGCTATATATTGAATAAAGTGCCATGTAAATACACGTGGCATGACTTCACGGGAGTGCTAATTTGCAGGTACGAACAGATGCTTTTTTAATTGAAAAATGCTTGCTGTTCTCTCCAATTTTGTTGTGTTTATTTTGTTACTGAGAGGAAAGCGTGCAGCACATATTTACATATTCATATAAGCGTTGCTTTCATCAGAGTGGGCGGCGTCGGGATGTTTGATAACAGCTGCTCAACTATTTCGAATTTCATTTTACCCCTAAACGAAGAACGAAAAAGAACTTTGTTTTGAGTATATCGGGGCCTTAAGATGTTTACCTAGCGTTAAGAGCGGTGTGAAAAGCCGTAAATTTTATCTTATTTATTTTATCTTATATATACAGGACAGTCTAGTTCCCTAATTTGCTGATTTCTTCAGTTGTTTGGATGAAGCGTCTTACCCTCAGCATGGTCTTCACATACTCAGAGAACACAGCCCAGTAAAGTTTATCACCGCCAAACGACCGACGAATGAAAAATGCTCCCGACATGCGCAGCATCTCACCAACAAACTTCATGCTCATGAAATCTGCAGGAAACATCATGACATTAAAAAAAAATAGCACAGTATATGTAATGAAATCACTAGATTTTACCCATTTATCAGCAATAAGTTTTTAATCATTTAAAATACAATGAAATTTTGTATGATCACTTTTTCTTTTATATATTTTAATAAGTACAGGTCAGAATAAGGATACTGTTTCATTGTTACATAAATATGTTACACTGAATGATGATGGAACATTATTTCACCAATATTTTGACATTTGATTTTCACAAAAGTTATTTGAAACATTAAAGCAGACACTTTACTTGAATTTAATATGCTTTCCATGCATACAAAAACACTTTTGTCAACTGAGTTTGATGTGAAATCTCATTTTTGACCCATATATCCAGGGTACTTAAAAAGACCATGATTTTACAAGAGTATATATTCTAGAATAAAAACATGGCGCAACCATGTTTTATGTTTATGAAGTTTTAGAAACTACCACAGAGTGCTTGTATTAAGATTTTGAATATAATACAGATAGATTATCAATTGTTTAGATGCTCCAGCTGGCACTTTTTGTACATCAAACCACCCAGATACTGTCTAAACAGAGTCAACCCTCAAAAACACCCTGAGAGAACCACAGAAAGGCTATAAAATCAGTTACAAACTCCACTCAAGCATATAAAGGAGTATGGACTATATACTTTTGGAAAGTGTGTCTGCTTGTGTTTGTATAATAGCAACACTCCTCAAACAACTCCTGTCCACACTCACCCATTCCAGCTGCGATCACAGGCAGGGGAAGGTCGTACATGTAGAGTAAGTAGGACATCATCAGGAAGTCCATGTAACTACGGTGGCTGGGCAGGAGAACCACCGGGTGTTCCTGCACAGCCTGCTGGAGCTGAAAAGAGAAAACATCATCGATGAAAACCATCATGACATCAAACTCTATTTACATGCCATCTTTAATAAGCCAAACGGCAGGACCATCTATAACACTGGTCCTCAACCAAGGGGCCTCAGGATGACTTAAAAGTATTTAAATTAATTAATTATTAATTATACATTGCAATAATCTAATTCTAAAATAAATAATAATAATATTAACCTCCTGAGACCCTGTGACCTCATATGAGGACATTATATTTTGGTGTATTTTTCTGAGACTATACATGCCACAGTTTTAAGTCTGGATGTCCTGTACAGAGCACATTCAGGGCTTTTCAGAGATACTTTCTGTTACGAAACTAATTTTTAAACTGTGTGTCATAAATCAACATCTCAGGAAAATGTTGTGGGGTTTCAAATCAAAATATGACTTTCTGTTACGAAACAGGATGTTGATTTCATACATGTCCTCATATGAGGACACCGGGACTAAAAGCATGTTTATTAGCATTTTGGGAGACACAACAAATGATAAGGGAAAGAAATTATGTTTCAATATTCTATGAAATATTATATATTATGATGAAAATCTTGTCAAATATTACTCCCATTATTACACTTCTTTTTTCATTACATGTTGCCCCAAAAACACATTCATATGCAAATTAGATTTAGTTTATAGATACATTGTATATAATGAGAAAACCCGTTTATGGCCATTTTACACACATTTTGCAGAAAGAAAAATGGTATATCAAATCATTCTGTTATAACATAGCTGAGAATCATCTTTATACAAAGTTTGGTAAAAAAAAAAATCCTGAAACCTAAAAATGTATTGGTGATTTAAAAAATCTATTGTTTTTGCCTATGCATGTTCATTCATGTCTTTTTATTTTTTATTTTTAATTGAGTCCCGATGTCCTCTACCGAGGACATAGCATAACTTATGAACGAAATATCTTTTCTTTTTTTTTTTTTATGATCTAAACCAGTGGTTCCCAACCCTGGTCTTGGAGGCACCCTGCACGTTTGCATGTCTCCTTAATCAAACACACCTGATTCAGGTCATCATCTCATTAGTAGAGACTCCAAGACCTGAAACTGGAGTGTCAGAGACAGGAGACATGCAAAATGTGCAGTGTTGGGGTGCCTCAAGGACCAGGGTTGGGAACCACTGCTCTAAACAATGTAAAGACATGAAAAAAACTATTTTTTTCCTAAAAATCTTTTCTCGGGTCTTAAGAGGTTAAGACATAAACACAAATCTTTTCCCCCCTTCAATAACTATTGTATAGCACTGTTGGGCTGAAGAACACACAGTTCTGGCAACATCTGAAATCATGACATTTCAATTAATTGATTTAATGTATCGAAACTCCCTATTAAAAAAAAAAAAAAGTTTGAAAACAAGCAGCGATTTCATGATTACAGTAGAAATACAGGAAATACACTTGGCCAATGTTTGAAATAATATTAAATTTTTTTATTTATATAAATATAAATATATTTTACACTCACAAAAGCTGCTTTTATTTGATAAAAATATAGTAAAAACCGTAATATTGTGAAATATTATTACAATTATTAAAAATGTAATTTATTCCTGTGATGTAATGCTGAATTTTCTAATATGCTGATTTCACTGCTCAAGAAACATTTCTTATTATCAATGTTAAAAACAGTTTTGCTACTTAAAAATTTGGGGGGGTACATAAATAGTAAAAAAAAAAAATTTGTTTTATTCAGCAAGGATGCATTAAATTGATCAAAAGTGACATTAAACACCGGTGCTATGAAAGGAATGGATAGTTAAAAAATATTACGATTCTTGAAGACCTTTATGAGGATGATGAATTAGTATATATTTTTTAAATTCAGCTTGTCACATACTCCCAGGGGTAAAAGCACTCTCAAGATGATCCGCAATATTACGAGTACTGGCCATGAAGCTTCTGAATACTATTTCTTGCTTATTAGTGAAATGGGCCAAAATATTAGTTCTGTGGTTAAGCTAATCTGGGAAAAAGATTTGGGATGCACAATTGAAGACAAGGACTGGGATTGAATTGCTGGGAATTTAAAATGAATGTCTCGGGATATTAGAACACGTCTCATACAATTCAAAATTTTACACAGATTCTACTGGACACCCAGGAGGTTGTTTACAGCAGGTTTTCAGGATAATCCGTAGTGTCCGGAAGTCATGTTAAAAAGACTGAATCACAGTGGATACAGAGCTGCATCATGCTAGGCAGACAGGTGATTGCAAAAAGCTGGAAATCTTCCGGAAGGCCTCCAGCTTTTCAGTGGCTTCCGGATTTAGGGCGGGTGGCAGCCCTCGAAAATCTGTCCTATAATGTTGGGAGGACTGATATTTATTTTGATTTCTGTAATCCACAGTAGTAGTAAGCTTGTGGCGAGATGAAAAATAATAATGGCTATGGTAAATATAATACAGCTTCTAATAGCAACACCCCCCTTTTCAGTTTTTTTTTTTCTTAATCTATTTACTAATTTATTTTACTATTATAATGACTAACTATTTTGCTTCATTAATGTTTTGTTGTTGATGTTGTTGTTTTTATGCGTTTTAGTGGTTTGTTAATGTCAAGTACATGACACGTAAGAAAATCAATAAAGTACAAATCGTAAAAAACGTTTAATATTTAACAATATTACTGTTTTACTATATTTGTAATTAAATAAATGCAGCCTTGGCGAACAAAAGAAACGTCTTTCAAAAACGTTTTCAAAAAAAGGCTTAATTATTCAATGACTAGTAGAATATATATGATAATAAGCACTTTTAAAATAATAACATACTAATGACAAGGGATTGGAGCCGCCTCAATCCCTGTGACCTTATTTTACTTCAAGCACGAATTAAATTAGGACAGCCGTTTTAGTAACATTAGACGACCCTAGTAGTCAGCTCACAGTGTAGATGCCAGGTGTTTTAGCAGGAAATTCACACGTGTATTTTGGGGACAGTGAAGAGTCACTCACTCTCTGGATGCCCTCTTCATTGACACACACGCTGCGGAAGAGTCTCTTGAAGGCTTTGTTGAGCATAAAGGCAAAGAAACGAACGGTGCTGAGCTGCAGACGGTGAGCCATCTCATCCAGAATCAGAGATGCTTCCTCCGCAACACACTCAGTGCGGTCTCCTGATTCTGATGAAACCTACACACACACACACAACTCAGCAGCCATTAAAACATCCAGGGTCTGATCTGTATTCCTTGATACAGACCAAGAAATGGACAGCACAACTCTTCAGAAAACATAACTGTAATATTGACATAATAATAATTAAACAAGAGCACACTTTCTTTTAATGTACAATTCCTCCAAAATATCTTACTAAATTTAGGGTTCTTAAATAAAAACATAAAACTGTGGCACTGAGAAGAATGGTGGTGCTCTTTGTGGTTGCTGTACCTGTTTAATGACATACTGTAGGTGGTCCGACTGCAGAACGATGCTTTTCAGCATGCTGGCTTTGCAGGGCACTAGCCCTTTATAGAGTGTGGGAGTGTAGCATCTCAGTGCGTATCGCAGATCACTGGAACGTCGCCTCTCCTCCAGAATGTCTTCAAAACCATCCCGCTTCTTCAGCATCGGATGCCTAGGCTGTATGAAGGCAGAAGCATGCTTTTTATAATAATAAGATAATGATGATCAATTATATGAATTGAAAAGCCTTTTGCTTTATAACTGTAATGCATTACAATTACATACACAATTACACAACACCGAAGAATAAAATTACAACATATGACAGAATTATGGTTGACTTACTGAACTTATTTTGATTTGCTTATGCTTAAATGCTTTAAATTAATTAATACATGCTTGTTCATATTAACAAATATAAACTGCTCATATGAAGAATGAATTTCCAGAATGCCCAGAGTGTGCAGATCTTTAATCTTGGTTCAAAATAGTTTATTTTGAACGCACTTTTCTATAAAATTATATAATATTCGTTTGGTTCATGAAATGCTAACTTTGATAACTAATGCTAAATAAGAAGCATTAGTTGTTATAATAATAATAACAAGATAACTTTGGTTTGAGATCACTACATAAATTCTACTAATTCATTTGTGTTTTTTTTAAATAGTTTTGACTTTATTATTCTTCTAAAATGTGAAAAATACTGTAGTACTACAAAATAATCATTATATGTGTATCCATACATTTAGTTAAAAGTGTCTGTAAAACATCAGCTCCAGTGGCACAGATGGATAAGCGCGTGTCGGTGGCTTTTTGACGCGATTGACCCAGGTTCGATCCCGCCTTTCTGACTTGTTAATTTGTTTTCGGATTTGTCGTTGTGTTTTCTGACTTGTTATTTTGTTTTCGAATTTGTCATTGTGTTTTCTGACTTGTTATAATGTTTTCTGAATTGTTGTTGTGCTTTCTGAATTGTTATTTTGTTTTTTAGACTTGCATTTGCGTTTGTAATTTGTTATTTTGTTTTCAGAATTGTGATTTATTTTGCACTTCTCGGCCACCGTAATTTATATGTAAACAATGTAAAGAAAAAAAACTAAAACAATTAAATTAATAGCTAAAAATGTATGTTGCTTAAACATATACATGATTGTAATTATTACTGCTATAATTAATAAAATGTTGTCAGATTTTATAGAAAGTTTTGCATTGTTTTCTAGTGGTATATGGCTCTAAAACCGAGGTAAAAACAAATGTGATATAATATTTTTGGTTCACGAAAGGCTCGTGTGCACTGGACATGAAATGTGCTTAATGTTTCCTTTAAGGAAAATATTAAAGGAAGGAAGCTGCGAGAGATTCACACTGCAAGTGTTGCAAGCATGTAATATTTAGTCAGAAAGCATGCAAAAATGTTGTAAAACACTCACCGAATACAGTGCTCTGGATGCCATTTCGATTCAGCACCTATCAAAGCATGAGTGTAATAGATGAGATGAGTTCTGGGTGAGAAGTTTGGATCAAGGTTGATCGTTCAGTGCAGTACTCATTCCTTTTATAGAAAGGGTAGAATGACAAATGGGTATGAAACAGCCTATGCCGGGTGGGCGGGGCTTGGGGGTACGGCTGTTGGATCTAATTGGTCTGGATTGGTCAAAATAATAGCCTGATTTTATTTATTATTAGTATTATAATTTTTAGGTGCTCTAAGCTACTTGTTTAATGCCACTCGTTAAATCTCCCTATTACCTCACAGACTTCACTGAGGTGTCCTGAAATACCTGTCTCAGTGCCAGCTCTCGAGACTCTCGAGAGAGCGTTCTTGAGTTTAGCCAATCAGAAACGCCTCCTCCCTGTCAATCATTTCGTGAGTTTGAGTTTGTGGCTTCGAATTGGTTGACACGTCTGTGGGGGCGGGATTCATTTGATTGAAGGTATAGTCAATGACTAAATCCGGATAAAGTTAGCAAAACGGATGAAATAGTTAATAATACTTCATATAACGCCGTATGTATATATATATGGTATTCCTGGTGTCATTATCCCCGAGTAAAAACTTCGCCTCAGCATCACGTTGATGGCGTGAACACGTGGTACGTGTTACTTTTCTCAGCGCTAATATGAACGGACCAACCACTGACATTTGTGATTACTAGATTGCTCTATTATGTAGTCCCTTTGTTTGAACAATCTGCGCGAATTTTTATTTTTATGTCAGGCAGCACTCTTTAAAAGTAATAAGTCTAAACGTTTATAACCTTTACCGTACAACTAGTAAGACAGAAACGCCGTGAGATTGTATTGTGGTTCAATGGAGCGTTGGCGCTATGGGCCATAGTGCGCCGCTTAGAGGAAAGCTAGCACTTTACAGACGCTACAGTTTCTCCTCCTGACCTCCTCCAGTCTGTGCTGTCACATGGGCGGTGTCAACATTCAGATCGTGCTACTTCCGGGATGAAGAACGTGTTGACGGAAAGTGAGAAAGGACATTTCATGCGCACACGTGAAACACACGAAATCCAACTTTGCTGTTGAAACGTGTTTTATTTATTTAACAAATGAGCGCAACAAGAGACCAACACGATGAGGAGGCGGATGGCGATCGTCTTTTCCTCGATCGAGTTCTGAACAAGTTGTATGATTTTGGTAAGTGTGAAGTTTTTTAATAACAGCTAGCAGACATTCACGGTAACGTAGATATTAGCAGATGGTGATTAACAGCGTTTTTAAAATGAACAGTACAGCATAAGATAAAGCCACCGAAAAGTGTATGATAAATACAACAGGGCTACGTTTACAATGAATTACCAGCGCGTACTGCGTATTGTGCACTAGTGACGCGAACCGGTTGTTTTCGGACAGATCGTCTCATTTGAACCGGTTCAAAAAGCCGATTCGTCGGTTCCTGACGTCATCAAGCAATACGCATTTATTTTCTAACACCTTAGTGCCATGTTTTATCAATGAAAAATTCAAATAAGTCATTTGTGTCAACGCATATTGAAACATTCAAAAATAAAGTTATTTGTGTGAAAGCATATTGCTTGATTATTGCCATATAATTCACTTAAAAGGGGTCATTTGATGCGATTTCAAGTTTCCCTTTATCTTTGGAGTGTTACAAGCTCTTGGTGCATAAAGAAGATCTGTAAAGTTGGAAAGACTAAAGTCTCAAATCCAAAGAGATATTCTTTATAAGAGTTAAGAGTCAACCACGCCTACCTAAAACGGCTCGTTCTAACACGCCCCCACATGTCTACGTCACTATGTGGAAATATTAGCATAATGCCACCCAAATGTGCACGCAAAGAAAGAAGGCATGGTTTCAGGAACAGCAGTAGTGTTGATGCAGCCATGTCAGAGAGACGCTGTGTGTTTCAGTGCGAAAGCAAAAGCACTTTATTTGGCCTTCCGGAAGTAGATGCAACTAGGAAGCATTGGTTAAGATTTATTTAAATTTATTTACATCACTCGACAGAAAGGTTTTTGCAGGTTTTAATAAAATTTAAATTAATAACAGTCATAATAAACAAGCATATTTCCAGTACGCGCCTCAGGCTTGCACAGTATCGTCAACTCACTCATCAGAATCTTCGATAATCCTCGGCAAACTTCGATAGTTGGTTGAACCGGTTCATTCGGTTCTTTTTGAGTCGGACGTGCTACTTCGGCTGTGCGTCCTGCGTCATCAACCCGGAACTAAAGTTCGATTCAGTTCGATTTGTGAACCGGCTCAACCGGTTACTTCCTGAGAACCGGCTCAAAAGAACGATTCATTCAAGAACCTAACATCACTATTGTGCACTATATTCTGCATACTATTTTCAAAACAAATGTACTGAAACGTATTTAGTGAAACATTTAAAAAGTATAATCCTACCTTGTTACTTTTACCCCTGGATTCACAGACAACTGAAATAAACTTGCACTGATTGATCTTAAAATATGTAAGTGCCCTTGTTTTGTGTCAAGATGCACACCAGTAATGAATTTTTTTTTTTTTCTAAGGCATGTTTATAAAAAAAATACTTAAATGTCCTAATTGAACTATGGTTAAGCCCTGTCTGTGAAACCAGGCCTTGATGTTTAATTCACAAAATGGCAGTTTAAAAAAAAAAGTTTTTTTTTTTGTGTGTGTGTGTAAAGCATTGCAAGATTTAAACACAGATTACATAATAAATAAATAGAAATAAAAGGTTGCAGCTGTTATTAATTCCAATTTTGCATACTGCACATAATATAGGCCTCAGTTTGCACTGGCTGCCAATAGCTGCGTAGTCAATGTACTGATGTTTGCCTACAAGACAACCATGGCGCTGCACAAATATACCTAAACTTGCTAGTTCAGACTTATGCACACGCCAGAAGCTTCGTGGAGCCGTCCCAAAGAGGCACAAAATCACTCTCACAGACCTTTTCCCGGACTGTTCCCAGCTGGTGGAACAACCTGCCCATCTCAATTCCAGCAGCTGAGTCTTTAGCCATTTTTTTCGCCAGCACCTGACCAATTAATACTAGCACTTACCTATTCTATTCTGTTTGCTCTAATTTATTTACAATTTAAAAAATAAAGAAACCTTGCTATGCGTACTGTGCTAGAATAACTGAGACTTGTCACTTCACTTGTATACTGTTGCTCTTTTGTTGGTCTGGTTGCTTCTATTTTTTTCCTCATTTGTAAGTCGCTTTGGATAAAAGCATCTGCTAAATGATTAAATGTAAATATAGGCCTACATACTAAATATGGCAACAACAGTCTATTAAATTTGTAATTGCTGATTATAATATTTGATGTCATTTTTCATGTTTAGGGGATGAAAAAAACAAAAGATTGAAAAAGTCTCAGAAGAGAAATAACTCTACTGAGGACACAGACTCAGAGCAGCTCCTGACGAACTCAACAGTCTGTGAAAACATGCGATCTGGAGCTAAACAATCCAGTGTGGAGGTTGTTACATTTATTGATCCTCTGAAGAAGAACAAAATATCAAAGGCTGTTGAACCAGGGCAGAAGGTAAGAAAAGCATGCAGCCTCAGAAGCACATGATCTGCATGCTACCATCTTTGCTTCATGGGTGATTTTCTTTTCTTTCTTTTTTTTTGAGCCAATCATGAGACTGATTCTGTAGGTCTAGAGTGCTGCTATGATGTATTTTGATGTATCTTGAGCTTGTGTAAACCACAGACCTTTTTTCTGCCATTTAACCAAAAAGTCGATTGCTCCAGATGTGCTAAAATGCGTTTTTGGTTTTAGGCCTACAGAAATATGTCATTTTTGTTGCACTCTATTCTCTATATACACTACATAAGTCACAGTGTTGAAAAATTTGTCCCTGGTGAAAGATCTACAGAAATGATGGTTTCTTGATATGAATAAAAATGTTCATATAAATAGAATACAAGGTTAGTTTTGAATGGCCATTAAAGCTTTTTTTTGTAGTTGTGGCATCTACCAGCAGGAGCTGCTGTCAAACCTTGATCTCCTGGGCCAATCCATGTCTAATTCATGTGAAATGGAAATCTTTGTATTTTAAGAATATGTGCATGAAAGAATAAAAGCAGCTGACAGAGCTTCAGCAACCACATTCGGCTCTCATCTGTCTTTATCCCAGTTTGTTTATCCTCAGGTTCCTGATGTCAAGGAAAAGAAGAAAAAAGGCTCAGACGAGAAACTAACAATAGAAAAGGTGAGATTATTGCTCCTTTTCAAAACCTAGTGAGCTGTCTTGCGTAATCAGCATTTTAAAGGGATAGTTCACCCAAAAATGAAAATGTGATGTTTATCTGCTTACCCCCAGGGCATCCGATATGTAGGTGACTTTGTTTCTTCAGTAGAACGCAAACAAAGATTTTTAACTCAAACCATTGCAGTATGTCAGTCATATAATGGAAGTGGATGGGAATCACGGCTTTGAGAGTAAAAAAAACATACACAAACAAAACCAAATGAAACCCTGCGGCTTGTGACAATACATTGATGTGTAAAGACACGAAACGATCGGTCTGTGCAAGAAACTGAACAGTATTTATATAGCTTTTTACCTCTGATGCACTGTAATGTACGAACTGACCTGAGTGCGTCCTCGACAGCCGGCGCGTGACGCGTCTTCTTCTTGCTTTACGATGGATCGCAGACTTATAAGTGCATTACCGTCACCTATCTCTCAAGTGGACCATTGACACTCTATCTACAATCTCAATTAGGAGTGTCAATGGTCCATTTGAGAGATAGGTGTCGGTAACGGTGACCGTAAAGCAAGAAGAAGACACGTCACGCGCCGGCTGTCGAGGACGCGCTCAGGACAGTTCAGACATTGCAGTGCATCAGACGTAAAAACCGATATAAATACTGTTCAGTTGCTTGCACAGACCGATCGTTTCGTGTCTTTACACATCAATGTATCATCACGAGCCGCAGGGTTTCATTTGGTTTTGTTTGTGTATGTTTTATGACTCTCAAAGCCGTGATTCCTATTCACTTCCATTATATGACTGACAGACTGCAACGGTTTGACTTCAAAATCTTCGTTTGTGTTCTACTGAAGAAACAAAGTCAACATCACATTTTCATTTTTGGGTGAACTATCCCTTTAAAAGTCGGAACAAAATGAAAATTCACCCTATCTATTTTCTAAATGCATTATCTAAATCCATGCATTTGTTAATTGAACTTGTAATTTTTAATCAAAATGTCAAACTGGATCTTCCAGAGAAACGACAGATTTCTCTCTGGTCATGTATACAGACTTTTCCAGTCATTTAGTTACTTTCATCTTTTTTACAATCGAATGCAAACTTTCCCTCAAGATCCATTTTTCTGCGGAGTTTAGCTCCAACCCTGATCAAACTCCCCTGCGAGCGTGCAAAAAAAAAAAAAAAGTGTAA